GGTGCCCAGAACAAAGTCTGGGATTGGGGGGGGCTGTTCTGCTGTTTCCTTATTAGGCAAAAGGCAACTAGGGCAGCCTGGACCTGAGGGCTGGACCAGCACAGCCGATTGGGGACGCACAGAGACCTGCTGGCCGGGAACTGCGGTCCTCCCACGATGTGGATCTTCGCTCTGGTCCTGGGCTCCCTCACAGCTTGCACAGCTTGGGGTGAGTCCTCCTGAAATACAAATAGCGGGGTCACATTTGGAAACCTGTGTCTGGTGATGAGGTGGGGGAAATGCATGCAGGACAAAGGTGTGACAGGTGCAGTTCTGAAACAGCGTGACTGGGAGTGCCAGCCCAGCCAGCCCTGAGTCCCCGTCTGCAGGAGACCGAGGGGTGCTGAACCCTGCAGACCGCACTGCATGCACGCGGACCATCTGCAAAACTCATGCCTCATGAAGGAGGACTTTTAGGAGCTCAGGTTTATTTCCCCCTTGTTTATTAGTCCAAATATGACCAAATCATGGAGAGTGGCTTAGCAGAATATTAATAGTGACTCCTTTCCCCCTCTCTAAAGTGAGTGCTATCAGGATACCTCTCTTGCGGGGCTGTTATTTGTTGGTTTCTAAAGAACACAATGATTGGAATGAAGGAAGTACACGGAAGAGTCCATAAATGAAGGGGTTGTTTTAAAGTGTAGTGTATTAATAGAAAATGTTGGGAAGGCCAACAGATCAGGAGCCACTGTCATTGAAAAAAATAGCGTGTTACTCCCAGTTCCCAAGAGGAGGGAGGGGGCCACACCTCCAGGGTGGTCACAAGGTGAAGCCCAGGGTGAATTCGGAGATAGAGTAAGGAACTGTGGGCCAGAGCCTTGATGGTGGTTGCAGTTCAGGGCAAACAGGTTTAAGATACACAAATAGACAGTTTCAACAGTTCGGGCACATATCTGGTCCTGGAGTGATTAGGGCAAGGTGATACCGGCATGGGTGTGAGAGCCCGAGAAAGAAGGCGTGGAAGAAGGGCAATTTCATGACTATCTCTAGGAACTGGTTAACTCTAAGGGGGGCAGGCCTTCCAGAGTCAGCAATACCTCAGATGTCAGTCAATGTATCAGAAGACAAAAAGTAAAAGACGTGGAGGTTAAGACAAGGGACCTGCTAAGGGACCTGCGAATACATCTATGCCATTTAATAGATGGAGAAACAGACTCAGAGAGGGAAGTGAGCTTGCCCAAGGTCAGCTGGGAAACCGTGCTCTGGAATCTGTTGTTACCGGACTGAAGGGGTCCGTTTGCCTGCATGCATCAAAGCCCAGTAAGACATGAACAGGAGTTTGTAGCCAAGAAAGTAAGGATTAGTTAAGGAGATGGTGCCATGCCCGGAGTCACAGGTAGTTTGTGCTCAAAGACCTGGCTCCCCAGTGGCTTCTCGGGAATGGATTATATAGGGGGGCGGGAATCATTAATCACGGTGACTAATAGAGTTAGGGTCGTGGTCTCTACACTTTGGTTGGTGCTAGGGTAGGGGTAGTTCATCATTGCACTTGGTCCCGATGTCAGCCATGGAGTTGTCCAATCCAGTTTGTTCTGTGGGATGCTTTATCTTTCCTGGGTCTGAGGCTCAAACACAACTGAGGCCACGATATGTTTGGTTTGATTGAAAGCTCTGTCTCAGTAGTCAGTTGAGCCCCACTGGAGTGGCTCAGTTGGCTGAGAATCGTCCTGCGCAGCAAAAGGCTTCCATTTGACTACCTGTCAGGACACGAACCTGGGTTGCAGGTTTCACCTCCAGTTGGGGCGTGTACAGAAGGCAACCAATTGATGTTTGTCTCTCACCTCAGTGTTTCTCTCCACCCTCCCCCACTCCGCCACCCTGCCTCTAAGCATGTCTTTGGGTGAGCATTAAAAAAAATTGAATCAATAGTCAATTGACCCAGGACCTTGTTCCTAAGATAATTGGATGTTGAGGGCTAAATGATTAAACCAGGGAGAGGGAAGGGGGTGAGTCAGGGAGCTTGGGCGAAGCCAGTTAGAGTCAAAGGGAAAAAAGATAAAGACCAGATTAAAGAAAACTAGGTTTCTGCCCAGCCGGGCATGGCTCAGCGGTTGGGCATCGACCTAGGATCCAGGCGATCAGGGTTTGATTCCCAGTCAGGGCACATGCCCGGGTTGCAGGCTCGATCCCTAGTCGGGGGCTTGCAGGAGGCTGCCGATCAATGACTCTCTCATCATTGATGTTTCTATCTCTTTCCTCCTTTCCTCTCTCTGAAATCAATAAAGATATTTTAAAAAAAAAGAAAAAGAAAAAGAAAGAAAACTAGGTTTCTGCACCTATCTCTGGCTCCTGAATCCACAGTGCTGTGGCCCAGGCCCCATCTGGATTTTCTTTTCTTTCTGGGGGTGTGCACTCTGAGAGGCCTGGAACTGAGTGGAAAGGCAGAGTAAGAAAGGAGACAACTTAGGAGTGGGGCATTTCCTAACTGCTGGCTCACCCCTGGCAAGGCCATCCTGTTTCCCTCTTCAGAAGTCCATTCTGGCTGCCTCTGTCTCCTAAGTTTTCTCAACTGTAAAATGGGCATATTAATGCCTACCTGGCAAGGCCCTTGGGAAGACCCAATGAACTGGAATGCCCCTCTGGGACGCAGGAGATGCTCGACATATAACCATTACATATAACATAAGTGGGAACTGCTGCTGTTACCATCAGGGCACAGGTCTTGCCTATTGGGCTTCTGTGCACTTCATGTCCCTTGAAGGTTATCGCTGGCTTCATAAAGGCCAGGCTCTTATCAGGTCTGGTTTCTTCTCGGACTTTACCCCCTTCCCTGCTTTGAGGAACTCAGCACTCTTAGCGCCCTTTGTCTCATGGCCTCCGTGGGGCTCGGCCCTGTCCCGCCCCCAGCATGGTGCTGTCCCCCCACCGCTCTGACAGCCTCCGCTGCAGCTGTCCCTGTGTTTCCTCTGCAGCCTTTTCTCTCTCACGCCCTGGCCTCCTCCTGACGTCGTGCACATCCATGGGTTGACCCCCACTTCAGGCAGATGATTCTACTCTGCCCCCTGGCCTGGCCCCCTTCAGCCTTGAAAGGCCCGCTTCCTGTGGTGTCTTCCCACCCAGCCGGTTCATTGGCATCCACCGCATCCGTCCGGATCGGACCTCAGCCTCGCCACCAGCTCTTCCATCTCCTTTTCCTTCTGTGCCCCCCACATCTGATCAGGGACCAAGTCCTTCTTCAAAATTCCTTTTAGACATCATCGTATTTATTCATTAAAAAATCCTTCTAATTACAAAAAGGACTCTATGTTCAATGCAGAAAACTTGGAAAGCGCAAAGGAAAAAACATCCCCTGCAATGACACTACCACTTGATAATCTGATGTACACGCTTCCAAGGAAGTCCATCTCGATGTTCGTCGTAATAATCAGTAACCACGGCAAAGGAGAACAGCTTAAATGGCCACAGACTGGGAGGGGCTTTCATATCATGAGACGTGGATGCTGTTTTGTAACCTGCTTCTGCGTATATCATCTCCAGTGTCACTGGGGAGCCTTCTATGAGACCAGATCTGAATTACCCTTTTTTGTTGTCGCCACACACTTTGAGGGAGATGTTGGCGCTTTTTTTTTTTTTTTAATATATCCTTATTGATTTCAGAGGGAGGAAAGGAGAGGGAGAGAGAGAGACAGAAACATCAATGGTGAGAGAGTCATTGATTGGCCGCAGCCCGCAACCCGGGCATGTGCCCTGACCAGGAATCGAACCCTGATCGCCTGGATCCTAGGTCGACGCTCAACCGCTGAGCCACGCCCGGCCGGGCAGATGTTGGCTTTTTGTCTGTATTTAGAGGGGAGCCACTGGGGGGATGAGAGGTTAGAAATCCTTTCCGGAAGGGAGAGCTTAAATACACTGAGGCTACCAAGGACAGACAAGGGGAGACGTGAGGATGGGCACGGTCGAGTGTCTGGAAGTTCAGGATGGTCCACGCAGGTAGAACCAGGACTGATATGCAAGCTGCAGGGAGGTGAATTCAGCCCAGTGAGGGAGAACTATCTGCTCCAGAGGAATGGGACAGGTAGGAATCTGACCCCCCTCCCCGCTTGGTGACCCTGCTCAGAGCCACCTAAGAATCTCTTCAAGCTGACTGTGTCGCTCTCCTGTACTCCAGAGCTATTCACTGCTGCTCTGCTCGCTTCCCCAGTAACCGAAGCCTGAACCCCCAGCCTGGCACTCGAGGCCCTCCCAGACATGACCCTTCTCATTCCAGGATCATTTGCCGCTCCCTAGAGGTCCCCCTGGCCCGGTGGGTCATTCTCTGTCCCTCTGGCAGGGGGGGACTGTGGTGTGTCTGCACGCCTCGGCTCACTCTTCCCTCTCTTTAAAGCTTTGCACCCTGGTCCCATCTCCCCTTGCTCGGTCCTCTCCTGCTGCAGGCCCAGCACCAAGGTTACTGCTCCACGCTTCTACCCATCAAAAGGCCTTGCCCCCCTCTTCTAACTCCTGTAACACCAGCTGACGCCTCCCTCACAAAACCCACCCCTGTCCCCTTCCTTCCCCTTCCTTCGAGGCAGCGGGGTCAAGTATTTATGTGGCTCCTTCTCAGTGTCCCCACAAGGCTCAGGTTTCTGAGAAGAGGAGCTGCCTCTCGTTTGCCCTGTCATCCAGGGTGCAGCTCAGCGTCGGGACCCGAATGGATAAAGTTTCCAGATTCCTAAGCGTGGCAGCCGTAGGTCTGTCCACTCCAGGCAGCTGTCCCCGCGTTTATGGGTTACACGCGGCTGCTGTACCTCCAATTCCCATTCGCTCCTTAGGGCCCTCTGGAAGGACAGTTCACCTCCTCTCTTTTTTACATAAGAAGAACCCGAGGCCTAAGACTTGAAGTGACTCTTTCAGGGTTACCTGTGGCAAGACCCACCTGGAATCCAGCTCAAACCTTTCGCTGCTGGTGGGTCCTCATTTCCTCTCGACGTCTACAGGGCACCCACCTTCGCCGCCTGTTGTGGACACCGCGCAGGGCCAAGTCCTGGGGAAGTATGTCAGCTTGGAAGGATTTGCACAGCCTGTGGCCGTTTTCCTGGGAGTCCCTTTTGCCAAGCCACCCCTTGGGCCCCTGAGGTTCACTCCTCCGCAGCCTGCAGAACCATGGACCTTCGTGAAGAACACCACCTCTCACCCTCCTATGTAAGCATGGGCATCTTTCAGGGGAATGTTTGCCTCAAAGGGATGCAGGAAGGCGCCAAGGCCAGCCTCTGAGTGGCTCATCCATTGTTCTGGAATCCTTAAGATACGGTAGATCCTTAAAACATTCCAGAACTCCCACAGCGTTCTAGAGCCCTTTATTCAACAAATATTTATTGAGCACCTACTGTGTGCCAGGCATGTTCTAGGTTCCTGGGCTCCATTAGGGAATGAAACAGATACCCCTGCCTTCATGGAGCCTGTGTTCTAGCAGGGAGAGATCGATAATAAACAATACGAAAATTAATATATAAGTGATATAATGTGTCAGAATATGGTAAGTGCTTTGGGGAAAAATTAAAAGTTGAGCAGCTGATGGGGATCAGAAGCAATGATTCTATTTTTTCTCCTGTCTTGAACTTTGCTATCTTTGGGGAGTGGGATGAGCCAGGAGGTGTGTGGGTGGGATTGCTTTGGGGTGTTGACCGGGCAAGTTCTCAATTCCCAAGTGTGTCTAGCTACCTAGTCACAAGGAGTAATTAATGCCTGGCGCACTGGGAGGACTCAATAAAGGTTACCAATTATCATCTATGCTGGCTTCTTCCAATCCCTTAGTAGGGCAAACAACAGCGCTTGCCTGGGATGGATGAGTTGATGGTAGACTCTTAGCACGTCAGGGCTGCAGGACCCTTACAGAATCACTCTCCTCGCTTAGGCCTGGCAGGTTGGGTCTCAGAGCCGGGAAGGATTCACTCAGGGTCACCCAGCACATTAGTGGCCGAGGCAGTTCTCCTGATACCGCCCTGCAAATATTTACCCTTACCTGTCTCGGGCTCCAGATGTCTGCTGCCAGTTGAGTGACTTCTCATGGTTAATGGAAGTCTCCTGTGGACTAGACCACCTGGTTTACCAGGTGGGGGAACGTGGGCAGCCTGCAGCCACCATGGGAGCCCAGTGGAGAGCCAGGGCTGCCTCCAGGGCATGCAGAAACTGTCACCTCCCAGGCAGGCAGGGGCTAGTTGCCTCCCCTCCTTGACCCGCTGCAGAAGAAGGCTCCAGGATGGGGAGAGGAGCCCAACCTTCTTACTGTACACGGTCCTGGGAGACTTTAGTGAGCCCCAGGCCCCCCACGGTGACCCACCCCCTCAGATAGCTTCCTATCCACCCCAGCGCCCCCTCTGGGAAGAACAGCTCTGTGCAGGCCTAGAGCTCCCAGCGCAAGGCCCGCCTGAGAGCAGGGGATGGCTCTGTGCTCAGCTCTGGTTGAACCTCAGGACTTTTCCTTTCTTCTGCTCCTCCCAGGTGCTCCCAAAATCCAGTGACAGCCCAGGTGCTCTCCGAGCTCTTTAGCCTCACAAAGGAGGGAACTCCCTTCAGGTTTTCTGAAGACTGCCTCTACCTAAATATTTACACTCCCGCTGACTTGACGAAGAAAAGCAGGCTCCCGGTAAGTGGGCCAGCACTGGAAGGATCCTCTGGCGTAGGCTGGGGGAGGGCAAAGGCAGCTTGGGGTGGAGCGGCACAGCCACGGCTACTTCAGGGGCCTGGGGCTTTCTTTCCTCACCACAGGAAGCACAAGTTCTCCGTACTTCAGTTGGTAGCCTTGGCGCCTGGG